CATTCTCGACGGTGACCTCAACCTACCCCTAGACCCTTTGGCAGACATGTCTTCAGGTCGAAGTAGTGTCCCCCACTCAGCGATCAAAACGGTACATAGGACCCTCAGAGACCTATGACTAGTGGACACGTGGAGAGCCCTGCACCCAAATGGCCGAGACTATACGTACTACTCCACACAACACGGTAGATACACTCGAATTGACTATATATTCATACAGCAAGAGGGACTCACATATCTGGAGAGAGCAGACATGCACACCACACCGTGGTCAGACCACGGAGCGGCACAGGTCTCCATGGTATCGCCTATGTTCCGACCGAACCGAACAGCATAGACTTAATGACTCGCTCCTGTTAGATGAACTACTCAACACACAACTCACAGACCACCTTAACCAGTACTTTGAAGAAAACGACACAGAAGACGTTTTGGCCATGACAGTCTGGAAAGCCCACAAAAGCGTTATCAGGGGACATCTCATCCGCATGGCCGCCAATCGAAAAAAGGAAACCGGGCAGCAGATAGCGGACCTCACAAGAGCGATTTCTAACCTGGAAATGGCCCACAAGCGAGACCAACAGGAACAGACCTATAGGGACCTAGTGACGCACAGAAGACAACTAACGGAACTGTTAGAACGCAAATACGCAAGGACCCTCCAGAAATCGCATGCATTCTTTTATAGACACGCCAACAAAAGCGGCAAACTTTTAGAACGCATGTTGAAGGGACCACAGGGAAGGGCGTAAGTACACACGATACGAACCCAACAAGGCACGACGACACAATTCCCAGAAGGCATTGCGAACGAATTCAAACAGTTTTACCTAAAATTATACAACATCGAAGGAGGAGAGAAAGGGACCTCTCGGGCCACAAGGGAGGCTGACACAACGAACTACTTAGGAGCCTTCAGACCGAATGCCCTGACACCGGAGGAGGCAGAGCAGCTGGAGGCACCGATAACGGAGGATCAACTGCGACGGGCACTAAAAATGATGAAAAACGGTAAAGCTCCAGGACCAGATGGATTCCCGACAGAATACTTAAAGAATTCGGAGCCATCCTATTACCCCACCTGACCAAGGCGCTGAATAGCATAAGGGAAGGGACCATCTTCAGCAAGGAAACCCTGGCAGCAACTATCGCAGTAATCCCTAAGCCAGGCAAGAACACGGAGCAGGTTGGAAACTACCGCCCGATTTCGCTCCGCAACACAGACATTAAACTGTTCTCCAAGGTAATAGTGACAAGATTGCAGGCATACATGACGAGACTCATACATCCAGACCAGACGGGCTTCATACCAGGAAGAGAAGCCAGAGACTGCACGCTCAGACTGTTCGCGATACAACACCTAGCCAAGCGGACCAAAACGAAGCTACTCTTGCTATCCACGGATGTAGTGAAAGCCTTCGATAGGGTAGACTGGAGCTTTATTAAAGAGACGCTACGCAAGGCGGGCTTAGGGCAGGGGATGCTCACGTTGATCTCCGCGCTTTACAGCAGACCAAGCGCCAGGGTTCGAGTGAATGGAGCCCTCACGGACAGCTTCGACATCAGGAATGGAACGAGGCAGGGATGCCCCTTGTCGCCACTCATATTCGCCCTCACCCTAGAGCCGCTCCTAGATAGCATTTAGAAAAACCAGGGGATAACGGGGCTGAGATACAAAACTCAGGAACACAAAGTCGCAGCCTATGCGGATGACATGCTGCTTTTCCTCGAGAACCCGCTGGAGACCATACCACACCTACTGTCTGAGTTCGAACGCTACGGACGCCTCTCGGGGCTTAAACTGAACCTGAGCAAATATGAGATCCTTAATGTCACGGTACCCGAGACCGACTGCATACACCTGAGGAGAAGATTCCCATTTCACTGGTGCAGCGAACATATCTCGGAGTATGGATCACACAAGAGGGAAAATACATATATGCCCACAATTACAAACCCCTCCTGACAACTATCTTGGGGGACCTCAGGAGATGGAATTACCCACATATATTCTGGTTGTGGAGGATATCGGTCATTAAGATGAATGTCCTGCCACGGATTCTATACCTTTTCCACGCCACGCCACAGATGATACCACACACATTCTTCGCGACACTCAAAACAGCGATCCTACAATATATCTGGCGGGGTGACAGGGCACGCATCAGTTATGACAAGTTATGCCTACCGAGGAGCTGGGGAGGATTGGCCCTACCCGACTTCAAACGATATCAGCAGGCCACGGTCCTACAGAGACTGCGGGAACTCCACACAACCCCACCCAACAAACGCTGGGTCACGCTCTGGAGAGACACAAGGGACAACCAACTGCAGACACTGATTTGGCACAGAGAAGGGAAAGCTCAGGCGCAACTGGGAGAAGACTCCCCCGTCACGCAGACACTAAAGCATTGGACCACACTGAGAAAAGGACAACTGATCTCACACAAACCGAGCCCACTAATACCCATTACACATAACAGCAGTCTGGGAGATGGACTCCCGCCATCAGCCTGGCCGACAGACAACCAGGACGGATATATACCAATGCACAAAGTTCACACCAATGCTGGCGTGAAACCGCTCAGAGACATAGAGGAGGGGAGGCCAACCACGCTTATGCACCAATTCCACCATGCCCAATTAAAACACTATTACTACAACCTACCAAATAGGCCCAAAATCCACAGGGAACTAACATGGTACGAGACATTATGCACACAATCGCCCAAGGCAGATGGGAAGGTCTCCACGATATACCAATGTTTAATAACGAGTCACAGAACAAAAAATAATCTCTACAAAAGGCAATGGGAGGAACGGGCAGCTATGACTTTTGCAGACGACCAATGGGAAAAGATCCTGATCCTCCAGCACAAGAGCTCATCTAGCTTACACTTCCAGGAAGTAAACTACAAAATACTGACGCACTGGTATCGCACGCCGGACACGCTCCAGAGATATTCAATGGATATACCGGACACCTGTTGGAGATGCAATGAGGAAACAGGGTCACTGAGATATATATGGTGGGACTGCAGGAAAATAAAGCCGTACTGGGAGAGCATCGAACAAGAAATGAGGAGTATATTAGATGAACCCCTCATACACCACACCACACCAAGCAACCCATATCCACCTACAAAAAATCCATAATGAGACACATGCTGGACGCAGCAAAATCCCTAATCCGACTGTACTGGAAAAAAACGGACACACCCACGAAGGAACAATGGAAACACAAAGTGGAAGACATACGGATAGCAGAAAACAGAATAGCAAACCTGATGGGAAAAGGAGACAAGCACACGGAGCTATGGAGGCCCTGGATACTCTACGCCGCGTAAGACTAGATATAGGGTGGAACACACCGGAATACGGGGAATGCAGAAGAGAAGGGGGGCCTGGGCAGGCCAGATGGGCGGCCGACTAATCTTAGCCCCGAGGAAGTACCCCCCCTTCCCACTGTCCGCTCCCATTCCCCAGACCAGGCCCGAATGGGTACCCAACACACACACACACAACGCCAGACAGGAACCCGAAAAAGGGTAACTCACTGGCACAGAGGACAGGGAAACAGTAAGGGAGCAGACACAAACAAGAGCAGCTGCCCCAGCGGAAAGGGTAAGCCTTCCAGACAGAAAAGGGCACGACAACATTAGACGGTTTAGGGATACAGGGACACAATAAACCCCAGAGACACACCCTGAGCACAGGAATGGCGCAAAAATTAGGACACCAATATACACTGCAACAAACAACCCAACATAAACAATGATACACAGCGAGAAGCACATAACACGGACAGAACAGAAAACACTATATTACACACTTAAACCGCTTATGTGTAAGAAACACATGTAAACAAAAAAAGGACACAACAAGGAGGGTACAAAGGAAGAGAAATAAACACATCACACCCAAATGAAAATAGACAACATAGACTCGGATTTACAGGAAGATCGACGTTTAGACGTCACAAATAGGAGCGAGACACCAACAGACGTGTACCTAGAACATATAGAGCCAGTAACAAACGGACAAAATGCTAGGAAACACGATAGAACAATTGACCAATAGAGATCAGACACACACGCACGACTACCAATAGGCGACATGAAGGAATTAGGGCAGGTCAACACAGCACCCAGACCCTGGGAATTAGACTCCCCAGACTGTAAAGAGACCTACGGGATGGGACACCAACCCGTGGCACCCGGGATTCCAGCCAGAACATGGGGACTCAGAGATATAATTAAACCACAGAGAGAAAAAAAGGCCTGAGGACCGACACAATGTTCCAAGGTTGACGGGGCCTGTGTGCCCGCACGAATATGCTATTGAAATGTGACCATCGTTCTATGAATATATATCTAAGACCTGCGAGTCTACATGTTACAGATAAGTTTGGAATGTCGGATTTTTCTTGCAATAACGACAATAAAAAACATATTTACAAAAAAAAAAAAATGCAAAAAACTGTTATGAACGCTAACTTTGGCCAGTGGCTACTAAAAAGGACTGAACATACCCCATTTGCAATACCTTGGGTTGTCTTTTTTTGCAAATGGTATGCCATAATGGGGGAAATTATTATTCCTGGGCTACCATATGGTCTCAAAGGCAACCTTATCAATCTGGCAAGGGGTAGAGTCTAACTACAAATCCATGCAGACGCATCTGACACGAGCTCCGGCCCGGCGGGTGGAAACCGGCACAATAGCGGCAGCTACTAAGCCCAAAACCACTTGAGGGTACACCGCCCACGTTGGGGGTGCCCTGCTGATCACAACGATACCCCTCCGGTGCATACCGAAGCCGGGAACACAGAGACCCACGTGCGGCCTACTGGGGCTGAAGCAGGGGGGAGATGGCCACTCACCCCGGCGCACGAGCCCACAGGCGACCTCATCACAGCCAACCCCCCCCCCCAGACTGGTGGGGGATATCCCGGTCCCCTCTGGCCACATAGACCAGCAAGGAAAACGAGCATCACAGTCACACGACACAGCGGGGCAAAGGACCCACAAGGTACAGCCAAAATGGCCGCCCAACCTAGACCTACCAAGCAGAGCAACCGTTCTAAAATGCATATGTCCCCAATAGAAATATTTGACCAGCTATGCGCAGGCCTCAGGGAAGCCCTGCAAAGCCGAAGGGCAACACACCGACAAGCTGACCTAACAGTGGCCTCGTGGATTAGGCCAGCGGCGAGATGCAACTATTACAAGCAGGTACCCGAGCATCTAAGATGGCCGTCAGGCAAAACAGATTCCAGAGGGCCCTGATAAGGGAAACTGCAACACATCCCTCGAACACTCGCTCTCACCCGCACATGAGCAACACAGGGACCTCAAAGCAAGCGACGCACTCAAAGAAACCGCCTGATTTTGATTTTGATTTTGGTCACCAGCACAGCACCAAGCACCTCTCCTCGACCACGGCTGCAACACAAGCGGCTAGGACACTAAACATCATGAAGAGGCCTACCGGAGCCGACCCCTGCAGAGGAGACACCAAACCCTGCTGACATTATGAAGGGACTAGCAACAACAGTCCACAGGTCTTACTGGCGCTGGGTATAGGCTGAAGCGTCTGCCATATTGCTTCACAAGGGTTTTCACATCCTGGTCTGCCGCGAGCGCTCACGACAGCCGAATACAGAGACCCAGAAGCCTAATACAAGACCCACACAGACTATACCCCCATGTCATCACGGACTTGTGGTAAAAAACACTACTAATGCTGAAACCGCTCCAGAGGGTTCAACGAACAGTAAAGCTCAGACAATGCAGTTAACACTTAAGTTTAGATCATACAGCGATGTTACTTTAAATTTTAAGCAAGACTTTGCAATATTTTTTGTCTTTTAATACCTCGCAGCCTATGTACGTTCAGCACAATATGTATAGATAGCATACACAGGCCAAACTATAGACACATTGCAAGACAAACCACTGTTTTAAAATTACATTGACACACTTAACTTAGCATTGTTAAGCGTCAGTTATCTTACTTTATTTAATCTTGACATAAATAATGTTTAGCCAAGCTTGATATACACACGTAAATATAAAAATGTGCAAATATTCATGCCACCGTTTAACCTCTATTACTCTTGTGAAACACTGTTATGGTATATGTTAATATCTTGTAACCACCTGCACAACGAAAAATAAAGAATAAAAAATAAAAAAATAAAATCAATCTGGCAAATTTCAATGTGAAAAAAACTGAAATGCAAGTCTTAGATTTGACCATTTAACTTTCAAAAACACTCTAAAACCTGTACATGGGGGGGGTACTGTTATACACAGGAGATTTTGCTGAACACAAATATTAGTGTTTCAAAACAGTAAAACGTATCACAACAATGATATCATCAGTGAAAGTGCCATTTGTGTGTGAAAAATTCAAAAAAAACAGAACTTTCACTGACAATATCATCGCTGTGATATGTTTTACTGTTTTGAAACACTAATATTAATGTTCAGCAAAGTCTCACGAGTAAAACAGTACTCTCCATGTACAGGTTTTAGGGTGTCATGGAAAGTTACACGGTTAAATACATTGCTAGCAAATTAAATTCACTGGACTTTTGGCCTGGGTTGTCAGGCAGGTCGCTCAAATTGTAATTAATAAAATGACTTAATTATGTAAAAATATTAAATGTATTTGTAGTATATGTATAGTATTTTTTTTAAAATATTTTTATTTATATATAGCTGTATATTTGTATATCTGTATATCTGTGTATATATATATATATTTGTGCTCGGAATTTAATACATAATGGATAGTATCTGTAAGGACAAAGTTGGTTGTGGTGTGCCGAAACCAACGTACGAGTGGGCCTGTAAATAAAAGATGGCAAAAGAGAAGTTCGAGAAAATACACACTTTATTGCCTTTTTACATAACCAAGTTCCTGAAAGCTTGACGAAGCTCTTTTTCTGGTCGTGGAATATAAGTATGGTATATGGAGGATTTCCATCGCCCCAGTCTCTTGATGATGTGGACCGGTGTATTAGTGCTGGAGACTGAAGAGGCGGCTCCTATGCGAAAGGAGTGCCCGGAGAATGAAGTCGGATTGAAACCCAGTTTAGATAATAGTGTTCTGACATGAGACGTGAATTTAGCAGTGGTAAGCGGGTGACCTTGTATTGATAAGATTGGAGAGTCTGGTAAGTGCGCGTGAAGGGTTGACCGTAGGAGGTCTAGCGCCTTGACCGGACACCAGGCATTATCAGTAGGGAAGAGAGGAATTACAGTGGGGTGTAGTGAATGGTTGGTTTTAGTTGACGGGATCGAAAGTAGATAGTGATCCTCCACCTTTGTGAGGTGCGATGTTTTTAGGCTGTGCGTGATATCCCCTTGATGAACAACGGTGAACTCTCTAGGTCTGAGAAAACCGTAGAAAGCAAGATAGCCGCTTTGATCACCAGGTTTGTATCGGGATCAAACGGGGATTCGTCAAGGAGATTGCTAAGTGATCTGAAGATAGGCCCATCTATAGGTAGTCTTGTGATAGTGAGAGGAGCTGAAACCTTTAACATACCTTTTTAATGGGATATGATGACAAGAAGGGGGTGTTGTTAGGAAAATTTGTGAGGCTATGGTGCTGCACCCCAGTGAAGTAAAGTTTTATGGTGTTGTGGGAAAGTTTAAGATGTAAGTGGCAGAAAGAGGCAAACGCCACCATGGTTTGTATAGAAAGGTCGCCTTGTAAACCAAATTCTGCAGTGAATTTGTTAAATATGGTAAGTGCCCTATTATAAGAGATAGCTGTGTTAGGTGATAGTGCTTGGTGAGTGAGAGTCCTAGCGTGATGCATTAGTGTGCTCAGTCCAGGATTAGTTCGTGAAACTGTGGTGTCCTGGATGGCTGGTGGTGAGCCGTAGGGAGTGCCTGAGAGAATACCTGGAATTGAGAGCGAGAAAGAGCGTCAGCTGCAGTGTTGTGGATACCCGGAATGTGAAAACAAACTAAGTGAAACTGACCGGTTGCTGCTAGCCAGGTCAGCTTGCGAATCAGCCGCATGATGGTCAGGGATGATGAGCACCCCTTGTTAATGATTTTGCAAGCTGCCGAGTTGTCAGAGTAGCATTTTACTGCCTTGCCGGACCAGAGATGACCCCAGGTGTGTGCAGCCGCCACAATGGGATAGATTTCAAATAGGGCTGAGGTCTCCCTGAATCCTGGCAAGGCATCCGTCTCAGCGGGCCAGTGACCCCTAAACCAGTGGTTCCCAAAGATAGCTGCGAAACCAGTGTTGGCTGCAGCATCTGTGTGAATGATGGGTCTATCTCCCCTCTCAAGCGGGTCAGTTTGTCATGGGGAAGGCTAGCTCTGAGGGTAACGGAATCTAGCTCTATCCCCAAAAAGGTTAATTTAGTTGTGGGACCAATTTTTTTAGATGGGGACAAAGGTACTCCAAGCGTGGAAAAAAGTGCTGTAGTGCGGCTCATAGCGGTGGGTGTTTGTGCCCCTGGCTCTATCAGTAGGAAGTCGTCTAGGTAGTGAATAACGGAGTGACACCTGAGGACATTCAGAAGCAGCCAGCATAGTGTCTCAGCGAAGATATCGAAAAGTTTGGGGCTGCTTCGAGAACCGAAAGTGAGACGTGTGGAGAAGCAGTACTTTCCTCGCCATTTAACACCGTGCAAGTGCCTGAGTGAGGGGTGCATGGGTAGTAATTTTGTGATGTCTGTTTTGCTGAGCCAGGGGCGATTACCAGAAGAGATGATGGCCTGTATAGCGTCGTCAATAGTTACGTACTGGAGTGAGAATTCATCTGCTGGAATGAGTGCGTTTATGCTGGGAACAAAAGAGGAGTGCGGTGCCGATAAATCGATAGACGTTTTTTATTTGAATATTTGAGAACTGCGACGCCTATTGGGTTAGTGCGCCAGGAGGAAAAAGGTGAGGAGGTGAAAGGCCTGATCATGAAACCATTGGTAATTTCAGAGGAAAGGAGAGTGTCTGTGCTGACAGGAGATTAGGACATTCAAGTGTACCTGAGGGGATGGCTACTATACCCGTGAGAAACCCCTGTGTGAACCCTGTGGTCAGATATTCCACCAGGTGCGTGCTAGGGTGTGACCTTAAGTAAAAAAACAGGTTGTCGACATTAATGTCGGTTAGTCATTTGTTAGGGGACAACCTGGCCGGATACATGGTCTTGGTATGTGCCCTGAAGCAAATGGAGCAGATGTGCAATAATCTACAAGCGCTGAAACTGCAGGAGCCGGCGCTGAAATTATTGCACACCAGCGCCTTGCCTACCCAGCTTGTCACGTAGACCACCCGTTGGTTTGTTGTGAGGGGTGAAAGAGGTATGAGGGGTGGGAGTGGAGGTGGTGGGATCTGCTTCAGAGGGACATAAGTCCGCCATGTGGGATGTGGAATTACATATGGAACAAGACGGGGGCCTGAGACCAGTGAAGTGGCGACAGAATAGTTCTGTATCCATCTGACACCAGTTAATTCTAACGTTGAACTGTTTCAGGTGGGTCGCCGCCTTTGCTGATACTGACTTATGATAGTCGTAGAAAGAAGATCCCCCGTACATGATGCCCAGATCCACCACCTTGTGAAGGTAGAGGTCTAACTCCTCTCTTCTGTGGGGATACACCGTGCACATGACGTCACGGTATATTCCGAAAGCTATCACGAACTGGGGAATTGAAAGTTTTTTATTAAGCCTGGGATCTCTTGTCTTAAGCATTACTGATATATCCCCATAATTGTAAGCCTTGTTCTCCAGTATGTCCTGTGAAGCTATAAGCAGAGACACCAGACACACGTCCTTCCCGTCTAGGATTTCTGTCCTGATAGAGTCTGGGACGGAGTGAGCTGGTGACTCAAAAGGAGCTATAGCTGTGACTGGTGTTGGCAAGGGGAGTATGGGGGTGCATGCTGGTACAGTGGGGACAGCCGGGGTGGAGACTGGGAGGCCCGGGGTATTACCTGGGGAGGCGATGGCGCTCTCCACCTTAGATAGCCTGCTATTAAGGGTCTGTAGGTTGGCCAAGATTGCTGCCAGGGTATCCTGGGTGGCCGTGCCAGTGCTTGGTGGCTGTCCTTGAGAGCTAGTGCTTGGCCTAGGCTCAGGGGCTTGGTAGGTAAGCAGCCTGTAAAGTTCTGCCTTTCTAGCTGTGGCTGGAAAGGGGATTCCCCTGAGCCTAAGCTCGGCCGTTATTTTAGGAATAGTCCATGCTCTCAAGGACGTGGGAGTTGAAGGGGTGAGAGATTCGCCTGGAGACTCTGGTCTGGTTGGTGTAAACGGTATCTCTTCTGGCAGTTCTTCGATGGGGATTGGTTCTTGGGACATTCTAAAAGAAATGATTTTGTGAATGAGATATTAGAAGGGGAGTAAGGAAACGTGGGGGGGATATGAGGGATGGTATTTATTGGAAGAACTGGACTGTAATGCTAGTGCCGAAGCGAAAAACTTATCTGTGGTATTTTTGGTAGGTGAGGCCCTGCTAATGCCAAGTGGCGGGGTGTAGTAGGGCGGGCGAGGCGTATAACTATGATTTGGGCGTGGGGCCGTACCTCCGTGTTGAGGTGGGAGATGGCCTCGCGGGACCGGATTTCCTAATAGGGTGAGCTAAGGCGGTAGCCTAGACCCAGTAGCCAGTTCAATTGCATACTTAAGGTTGACTGGGAAATTCTGGTGTAATGTATGGATACTAACCTTGAAAGGTTGTAAATGATCACTGGAACCTTCTAGTATTTTTTAATGTGGCGAGTCTTGTCTGCTGCTGTTCTTAAAGAAGAAACCTGAGGATTAAGACAGATGTTGATGTATTTATGCGTATCGTGATGACGTATGGTTTGTAGTGAGGGTTGGCTGTTAGGAGCCCAACGTGAGATCCTGAATTGAGGGATCTGAAAGGTTTAGTATAGGATTGGGACGAGTTTGCATTAAAGAGAAAGGCTGATTGAGGCCTTGGGGTAGTGATTGCCATACGTGAGTAAGGACGTAAGTACCTGATGGTATGCCTGAGTACCGGATCAGGTAGGTTGGATGTTTTCCTTGGCCTGATGGCAGTATGACCGTAGGCCTGGGTAGAGAAATTGTAAAGAATTAACATACCGTGGGCGTAAGACCGTGAGTCAATCGTAATGAGACCGAGACCG